TTAAAACTGGATCTCAATTGAAAATCACAAATAAAAGCTTCAAAACCCCTTCAAAACCTCATTCGAATAGGTCCTTTGCTGTTCCTGATTTTCCACGAGACTCAAACGAGTCAAGGGGTACTTTTCAAAGAAAACCTGATGCAAGAACAGGCAGCCCGGTTCAGACTCTCCGTTTGGTTGTTGAGAGTGACTTCCGACCGCAAATAGGGCTTTACCGGGCTCAGAAACGGGCATTTTTGGTAATATGCCTTTGGCATATTGCATATTGTTCAAAATCTGGTTTGGCATATGGCATATTGCCGATTTTTCGACTGGGCATATGGCATATTCATGTCCTAATATGCCTGTTCCGGGGCCGAGTCTACGTGCCATTTCCGGCCAGGATCGACGGGCGCGGCCGGCCAGGCGGCTATCCCCGGCGACAGGATTTACGGGTTTGACTCGGAAGCGCCTGTAAGCCGCCGCGTCGAATATCCCTGATGATCCCCCTGCCAATGATTGAATGCTGCCGACACGTGAGCCTGTCGTCATTCGCGAGTCACGGGCCACCGTCGGCACCGGGCACGTTGTCGACACGGGCTGGAAAGCAATCACCGGGCATCCTTAGGACTGTACCGGCTGGTCTTCAAGAGTAAAAGCGATGGGTTGACTACCCGGCTTGTCCACCTGGGCCAGGCGTATTGAGTTCGAACTTCGAAGCGCAGATTCTTTGTCTCTCATGAGTTCGAGTTTGGACTCCCTTCTCCGACTCGTCGATGATGGCTGCGGAGTGCACACACGTGACACGAGGTGCATTGCAGCAGCGTTGACCAAGTCCGATGAGCATCTTCCAAGTTCCAAGTTTCAGCTGCAGAACGTACCGTAGACTCACCTAGGACTACAGTAGAACAGCTTCGAATTCCCAACTTCCAGAATCCAGATTCGCCTGCTGCTTCACTCAGGTGCTTTTCTCCATTGTGCTGCGTTCCCCCTTTGCTCTTACACCCTAAAACCCTATCAGTTCAAGGCATTCTTCGCTCCTGCTCAGCTTCCTGTCCGCCCCATCCCCAGATCTCACCTAACAACTTTCTGCATCCCCCCCTCGCACATCCCACCAAGATGAATCTGAAGTCGATGCTCAAGACGGCCGGTAGCAAGGACGCCACCAAGCTGTTCAACAAGCTGACGGGCAAAGCGGACGACACCGCCAAGGCCGACAAGGGCGCCAAGGAAGCAAAGGCCGAGAGCGGCGCGGAGCTGCTCAAGGGGGTCATCCAGCTGCAGTGGATCGCTTTCAACGATGCGGTGCAAACCAAGCAGCTGCAGGCGGCTTTGGAGCTCTTTTCAGACGATCTCAGGTGGGGGGTCTGCTGAGGCAGAAAGTAGCATTGCTCTTTGACGAGTCTCTGGTTGGGTCGCAACCCTGTCAAGAAAGGTTGGAGCTTTGGAATATTGGTAGAGGAATTCGTCGGAGGGTTCTCGAGCTGGAAGAGATGATCTTCAGGGCATGAGATTGTCAGGCTTGGTCTGCCAGGACCCAATGCATTGCATTTTGATGCAATTCTATACCCATCCAGCTTGTCTGGGCTTCTTGCAAGTGCGAGTCCCTGAACTGAAGTATACAGATTGAGAAAGAGCACCAGCGTTAACGTATTTGCCCAATGTGATACAATGCTGGTATCAGAAAAGTTTATCACCTTGTGCGCGTGAGGAATTTTCCTTTGCTGTGTGGGAGGACAATTGTACTTGAATTGGCTATGCGCACTTGTGTATGGCTGAGAAAGCTGCTCCTATTGCGCCCAGAGTCCAGCCAGTAGTCTTTGGAGTCTTAGGACAACATTGCAGCCTTCCAGGATTGTTCTTTTCTTTCAAGCGCGATTGGTCCATGTGAAAGCTAGGGATTGTAACAATGCCGTCGCGCAGTGCCACGTTACTTGCTACAGCTCTGATCATGATCTGGTATTTTGCGTTCTGCAATGCCGACAGTGCAATGCCGCCTGTTGGCCTTACAGACGAGAATACATCCAATTGAATCCCTGGCAATGCTTCTGCTGCGTTTCACCCCCTGACTATGTTGTCCTGTTCTAAGCTGGGTCAATCTTCTTACAGCCCACATGAGATCTTCGTACAGCCCACATGAGATCAATTGATATAGGCGCCTTGAAGTCCCATCAATGTGGAAGCCTCATTCTCAGCGCTGTTTGGGTTTCAGTTGCAAAAGCAATTTCCCTTGTGGGCTCAGTTTTTCAATGCAGGCAGTCAAACCCTTTTAGACAATGCTGGCCGCATTAGCTCGATTTTTAGTCACAAACATCAAGAGCTTGCTTTTGGTGCGGACCACCAGCGCTTAGCTGGCTTCAGCAATCGCTTCTGCTTGTGATTTTCCTGAATGCTGGCCTTGTTCTTCCAGAAATGCCCACCTCTGGTCAGAGGGATGCAGCCTGCTTTCAAGGTTCCTCCTTGTCAGAGGGCTTGACCGGTTTGTCATAGTGTCATCAGTCCAAACCCATTGCTTTTCACCCCATTGACAGCTGAGGACTCTGCTGACAAACCACCGCTACAACCCCAAAACCCTAGACCCTAAGCGCCTCAAACCCGGTTTGCGCCGTGCTGCCAGGTGGTCCATCGAAGCCAGGGACTAGCTGGTGGGCAAGGGCCCTGTTTGCAAAGAACTTAATGGCTCGTAATCCTGCTGAATCACTACTGTAACTCTTCAGTCCATAATCCTGAAGATCTCAAAAAGTGTCGTGCGATGTGCTGTCAGGTGGTGCATTGACGGTGGGGACTGGCTGATAGGCAAGGGCTTGAAGAAGTCTTCTCATTGTTAGTCCAAACCTGTCGTTCTCAACCCCATCTTATGAGAAATTTAGGGCCCAAAACTCTGCTGACAACCAATGCGATGACCCTAGACCTACAATTCTTGTATCCAGATTCCTGAATGTTGATTATGCTAATAATACTGGACGCTGCGCTGCCAGGTGGTGCATTGACGGCGGGGACTGGCTGATAGGCAAGGGCCCCTTCTGTTTAAAGAAGTTCAGGGCTTACACTCCTTCTGCCAAAGCATTGCTGTAACTCCGAAACGAAGACCCAAAGCAAAGCTTAAATGTTTTGCGCTGTGCTGCCAGGTGGTGCATCGACGGCGGGGAGTGGCTGGTGGGCAAGGGCCCTGCGCTGATCCAGTGGGTGCAGCAGCTGTCGGAGAAGAAGCTGCGCATCACCACGACGGTGGACGAGATCCTGCAGGTCGCGCTGCCGCCCGCGCAAAAGGTCAACAAGGCCGACAAGAAGAAGAAGGAGAGCGAGATGCAGCTCGCGATCGCGGTGAGGGAGCGTTAGTAGTGACTGTCATCTGTGTATTTGCTGCTTCAGCTCTGCGTGAAGAGATTTGTAGTGGGGGGCACAACAAGGGCCAAACTTTCCAAGCCACCTTTCTGGTGGCTCACACTGTGTAGGCTCACCTGCCGCAGTTTGGATGTTGTAACGCTTGAAGCTATAATGAAATTGTTCTTTATGCCTCGAAGGCAAGAGGAAGCGCCTCTTCCAGTTTCTCTTCTCGCCGCCCAATGCGTTGTCTGGTCGCGTCAACTTCCTAAATTAAATCGTGGAAGTGGCATGGTCCCTAAAACCCTGACATGAAAGGTTCTGATGGCCATGGGTGGATTCCAGCCGGCAGAACCGGCAGAACTGGACTAGCCTCAAATTGTCAAGTTCAGGGGCTTCAATACTTGAACGACTTTGTCGGTGAGTCAGTTGAACAAAGAATTGTTTCGCCTGTTCCCTTGCACGTATTCAAGGACATCAGCTCAGCTGGGTTTCTATTTCGACATTGACCCTAGCCTCTAGGGTAAGTACCAATCGCAACGTGCCCATCCCAAGGTGACGTTGACTTCTTACATGATTCTCCGCCCTGCAGCTGGCCAAGACGCACTTGGGCATGAAGAAGGCGGACACGCGCGAGTCGTTTGTGGGCGTCCCATACGGTGTGCTTGTGGAGCGCGACTCGTACTCCATCGAGGAGGTGGAGGGCGGCAAGGTACGCAAGGCCAAGGCTAGCATTGCCAGTCTCCGACAATTATGGAGTTTCTGTCGACCAACCACTCCAATCACGATTGCGGATCAGGTCGCATTTGTGAGATGCAACTGTTAGTATGTGGTGGCTGTATGCTAGATGGGTTCTCCTGAGGACTACAACTAGCAACAAGGCGAGTCAACCCCTCAGCAATATTCGCAGGGGGCAAAAAGGCTGAATCAGAGGTACACCTCTAAGCAGACACCTAACCCAACCCCTGACCGAGGGTTCTCCTGAGGACTACAACTAGCAACAAGGCGAGTCAACCCCTCAGCAATATTCGCAGGGGGCAAAAAGGCTGAATCAGAGGTACACCTCTAAGCAGACACCTAACCCAACCCCTGACCGAGGATCCGTGCGCCCCTGCAAGAGGGGAGGGCCGGAAAGCGGTTCTCGATACAAGGCAGTCTGGTTGCTCGACGGTCGGGTTACAACCGGCCGTTCATGAAAACCACAAAGCCCAAACTTCGACAGAGGAATGAACCTAGTGCGATGTGGCACTCACACGAGACTTTGGGCCAACGCCTCTTGCGTAGGCGTTGTGATTCATTATTGTGATTATACTATTGTAGGTGGTGGAGGCCGGCAAGCGGCTGGCCATCTGGAGCCTGGACGGCGCCGAGGAGAAGTGGAAGCTGCTGTGGGTCATGTCCGCAGAGCCCAACACGCCCGTGCCGCCCGCACCTGCCGCAGCCGCCGTTGCCGCCCAGTAGAGCACTGAGTCTTAAGCAAGCTGTTATGAACTTATTTATGGTGTGATGGTGCACTTATCTGGTCTTTACATCTGTGGTTTCGAGGTGGTTTCGATGTGAAGTATGTAGTTCGCTGCGGGTGAGAGACTTGCCGAGGCTACGGTAAAGATCTAGCAAACTGGGTTGAGCTGGGCTGGAAACCCACGAGACGCTGCGCATGCAAGTTCTTGATAGCAGGCCCTTACTTGAAAGAACTTATAAGAAGCAACTATTACTTTGCATCGCTTGCGTGCGGCTTGACAGAGCTTGGTATAAGTTTAAGTTATTCCTGTGGAACACAACATATCATTGTTATTTTCTAAAGAACTTAGACATTGCACCTTAATGTGAGATCGATCGAGCCCTCCTGGCAACAGGTTCTTGTGACAGCAATCGGCCCGTTGCAGTGACAGAAAGACAAACACTTGATCTACAAGTCAAGTCTGTCTTCTAATTTCAATTTTGATTTGCAATTGCATTGCAAGAATTCCCCGCTCGGCTAGCTTGCCCCGCTTGACTACCGTCTCAGATACAAGCGACAATTTCAAGCGGTTGTCATGGTTCACACAGATGGTCGTGCCTTTATGACCTTTATATGCTCTAGCTAGGTGGCTTGCCAGTTGAGTTTTAAGAAGTTTCAAGTTTCCAAGTTAAAGCGCTGAGGTCCAATCGATCATGGCCCACACAATTGCATGGCATGCATGCAAAAACAATATGTGCATGCATACGGCCTAGCTCCTGGCAGCTGAATAGGAATCTCTATTGGACCTTATCCTGCAAACAATGACTGTTCAATGCAGCACGGCTCGGCGGGCGACCGAACATGCGAATGAAAAACTAGGCTTCACCATATGAGCAGTCCGACGGTAGAGGACTCAAGATCGTCGAACTTAAGGCCGCGCCCACGGTCGGCCCGGCCGGCCGGCCGGCCAGTTGCAAGCTCAGTAGCTAGGTACCTCTTGACAACGTACTCTATGCTATAGGGTTCAATATGACCCATGCATGTTCAATTATATATATAGTACTTAGCATTTCGCGATCGGATGTCTCAAGCACATGAGATATTTGATGCATGCATGGGCACCACATACAATACATACTCGTGTATCTGACAAACTCGATCACTACCGTGACCGTTCGAGAATGTAAAACTTTTTACTGTTGCCTTCATTTTAGTACGCGGTACATCTATGGATGGGCGGCCGGCCCATGTGACTCTATTACTGGAAAATAGTTTCGGCAATATCGTCCATATAGCAGATCAGTCGGTGATCGTGACCATGGGCCCGGAACAACATCGATCATTCACCTTTTTATACAGCTGATCAACAACTCGACTATGATCATGAATGTGTGCACAAGTGACGTGCATGCAATTGACCCGGCCCAACTCACTGAGCAGCATGATCGAAAGACCATACAATGTGAACTATATGTACATTGCCGTGCCCGTCACTTATGTCCAGATCGTCATAGCCATCTTATTCCCTTGATAACTACCAAGTCGGTACTTTACCTACGCAAGCCTCCGTTTTCTATTGGTCATGCATTACAAACCGAAAATCCGCAGTAGTCAAAGGATGCCGGCCTGATCAGCTACCACAGTTTCCAGCCCTTCTTCTTTCCTTTACTTTGATCTTGATTGGAGTTCTCCGCTTTTGGGCTCTCTTGCTTCTGAGTGTTCTCCCGTTCGATCTGCTTCTCCTCTGCCGCACCCTCCCCCTGCTCCTCGTCCTCATCGGCGTCCGGGAATTTCTGCGACCACGTAAACAAGAGCAGTGAGCTTCTGGTGCGGAAAAGTGCTTCTGGTCACAAGCGAAAGGATACGCTGTCTCGAAAGACTACACGGTTCAAACCACCATAAACCTCCATATCTTGTCAAAATGCCGCTTCCGGAAACAAAGCAAGGTTTGAAAGGCGGGGTTGTCTCAGCTCGTATAACAATAGAATATTATGAATGCAACGGGCGACTGTAATTGTCACCTTCCTTTGAAATAACTGGCTATCGAGTTTCATACGAGCAAGTATAGCTTCGGAACCAGTGAGCAGCGCTAACGAAATGATCCAAACTGAAGTGCCGCTACTGGTGCATGGGAGGCTCGTGCACGGAATGTGCAGCTCTCCTGAACCGGATTTGTGATGACTTGGCAAAAGGGACAAATCTACGACATACTACGGCATACTACTGCAACTTGGGAACGCATGAAATACGTTCAATGTGCGAACCGGAGAAGACGCCCCCCAAACGGCCGGGACGGCGCACGGGGACTGGACAGCAGCAATGCATGCCACATTCCACTCCATACCCCGCGCAAGCTTGCAAGAGAAATTCAAAGACTGCCAGGATAGAAACACCCGTCGCGTTTTGTGGGTGGGGCTCTGAAGGCCGCCCTCTCAAAACGCGACGGTGTGCTAAACACGGGGGTACTTATATACGGACTTCTTTGACCCAGCAGGTCGTACGACAGAATCTCAGAGCACTGCCCAACGTGGCCCACCTGTTAGCGCCGGTGTCAATCACACATGCGGGACACGAAAAGCTTGAATCTAAACCCCTGCCGATACCAATGAATTCGCATGGAAAGAGAACCAAGCACCACGTGGCACGGCCCACCTGTTGACGCGCGGTTTCGATCATGGCGACGACGGCCTCGCGCTCGGGGAAGTCGGGCGGCAGCAGCTCCATCACTTTGGCGAACTGCTCCTCCGCGGCGGCGGTGTCGCCCTTGAGCTGGAACAGCAGGCCCTTGCTCACGCGCGGCCGGAAGTCGGCCGGGTCCGCCGCAATCATATCCGCAAAGTGCGCGTGCGCGCCGTCGAAGTCGCCCTGCAAGAAATGAAAGCAGGGGTCGGTACAAATATCTTTAAAGATTGGCTCAACGCTGACGCGCAAGACTTGCCAACATCTTGCTTGTACGTTGGAGATTTAGTTGGATCCTCGTTTTGTGAGTAGCGTTCTGGTTGTGTTCGTTGCGTGCTGACTGCCGAATCTGTCAAATTTTTGGAACTACTGACGTGCCGGGAGAAAAGGAAAGTCGTAATCTGCCAGATCCTGTGGACAAGGTAGAAACGACAGCCTCCAGCTTTTCTGCTGTCACAGTACTATCGAAGCTGTTTGCCGGAAGGTCTCCTCAACGGGTTCCCCACAATCCCCTCGCCATGATGACGTCCTTCTTCTCAAAAGCCTAGCAGACTATAACAACTCTCGCTCGCGTGCTGCTCTTCACCTCCTCCAGCGTAACAAGCACCGTCAGGTTCGACCACAGATGGCTGCACCCACGAGGTCTCAACTATTCCACGGCTGCCGGCAGTCCGTTACTCTTGACAAAACCCTTCAAAAAGCAGTGCGCGAATCCCCGCAGGGTGCACTCACGGAGGATTTGGCCCAGGAGCAGCTTCGTCCAACAGCTTCACCCGCAAAAGACGTCAAACTGGCTACACAGCTTCATCCTCGACGAGACAGTACGCAAAGCACAAAATCTGGTCCGTTTGGATAAGAAACTCACGACGGCGGAGAGGATCTGGCCCAGCAGCAGCTTCATCCCGACGCTGAACTCCTTGCCGTTCTCCTCGCCCGCCTCCGTGCGCTCCGCCTCCTCCACCTTGCCACGCGCGTACGTCAGCGCGCCGTCCGGGTTGTCCGACGCCAGCAGCATCATCGCGTACGTCTGACAGGCAACCGCAGCAGGGCTTTCAGAGATTGGATCAGGCGAGCGGGCCTTCAAAAGTAACAACTAAACATGCTTTTACCAATCCAACGGTATCGGAAGTGCGGTTGACTTCCTGGACCACAAAGATGGTCTTTCTCGAAGCTCAGAGCGACTTTGGATCAAGCAGATTGCCCTGACAAACATTGGTGAATTTGCGGTGACTTGCAGCATAAGGAAGAAGGTGAGTCCCGGACCTCTTGTCCCAATCAATCAGTCTGTTAGGACTTCAAGGGACGCGTGACGTACGAACGGGTGAAACCCCTCAGGATTCCGATGATGGAAACTCGGAATGACGGATGATCGCCAGCTGCCTACATACTCGACACGTGCCTGGCAAGGGTTGAAACTTTGTGCCCTGTTGCCGCTAAGCATCCTTGTACATTTTGTGCCCCTTTCCCGCCACCCATACAGCTTTTCCGGAGCAAGCTACCACTTTTGGTGGAGAACCTGGTTAGACTGATTAACCTATTTACTGGATGCGAAAAGTCTGATTCAGATGACACTGAATATGGCGGGTTACTCGGAAGCAGCTGCAAACCAGCAGCTTCAAGACCAGTTGCACAGGGTGTGGATTCTTGGATCCGTAAAGAGGCGGCAAAGTGCGCCGGTTGTGCGGGGCCTCACCTGGACCATCTCAGGTACCCGGGGGAACTTGTCGCTGGCGGTCTTAGCCACCTCAAGCGCCTCGTCCAGGTTGCGCGTTCCTGACTGCATGTACGCAAATGGGAAAAACAGAGCTGAGAAACACTGCAAAGGAGTGCGTGGGAGACGGCCGCACAACGGAGGCCGCAATGTCGATTTCGTGCCTTCAAAAGAAAGCAGTGTGCCTATTTCTCGGCACAGAATTTGTCTCGAAACGTCCAGAACCTGTTTGAACTGCCAACTTTCGACGAGAAGAGCGGGCTTCGCTTAATTCATTCCGAACCACTTGCGGAGTACGCTCGAAGGAGGACGTGCCTCCTTACGAGACATTACTGATGACAACGACAAGACCTGATTTTGGACCTCAGCCCGTCCCTACTTAAAGCTACACTCAAGCTTAGGGTGTCCTTCTTTTCTAAAGCGGACAGCACACCAGCATTCGCAACAACTCCCACACCAAAGTCCTTCTCGAAAGTCGCGGCCTCATTAGCGGTACCCCCGTCGTTTGATTTCCTGCGGATCTGTTGCCTGCCATGGGCACGCTCGAGACACACCCGTTCAGTCACGTCGACTCCAGATTAGCACTACTCTGGAGTTGATGAATCGCTCATCGCAACCTCTGTGAGGCCGTAGCGGTAGTCGTCGGTGAAGTATTTGAATCATTTGCGCGGCATGTTCTTGATGCGCATAGCGGGAAATTTGCTATTCTCTCCGTTATAATGACCCCGACTCAAATACGGGTTTGAATCAGGACTGCATGGGAAGCTCACCGCGACCTCTGTGAGCATGAGGCTGTAGCGGTAGTCGTCCGGGAAGTAGTCGATCATCTTGCGCAGCGTGTCCTTGACTGCGTCGTAGTCGTTCTTCATGAGCTGCACGTCCACCAGGCGCTGCAGCCCCTTCTCGTCGCGCGGGTCCTCCGCCAGCTTCGACTTGATCGCAGCCTCCTCGCGCAGCACGCGCCTCTTGTACTCCGCCACCTGGCAGACACGTGCTGACGTCATCAAAGACATCGAAATACAACTATGCAATCAGACATCAATGTGAACGTCATCACGCAGAATCCTGAAGTTGACGACAATTGACCGCAGCCTCCTTGCGCAGCACGCGCCGCTTATACTCCGCCACCTGGCGTTCAGTCATAATGTCGCGTGAGTACTTATGAGATCAGACAACATCATTCACGTCATTACCCACACAAAACCTCTGCTTTTGACTAGACTTAATCCAGCCTCCTGAGTGCGCAACCTGGCGACGGCCGCCCACAACAAAGCTGACGTCATCTGACCGGACTCTGACCGGACCATGCTCGTAGGCGATTGGAGTTAACGAAGCCTGGTCGAAAGGAAAGGTTCTTGGAGTTTCAAAGCTTACAATCATAGAGAAGCCCAAACCAGAATCTCATATGCAGTTCAGAAGTAAGGAACCCCTTCACCAAGGCTTATTAAAATACAGCCACATCGACTGACGACTGGTATGTGTAACTAGGCACGGCCAATGCAAACCGGAATCATTTCCTCCCAAATGGCAGCTAATGAAGACGGCTTTCTGCCGACGGCCTTCACTCTGACTGGCTGCACTTACGGCACCCGAACGAAGCCAGACCTCGAAGCCCATGGCCGAAATCCTCGGTAAGAAGCGCGATTTACTAGACAGATCGAGCCAAGGCTTCGAGAAAGAGGGGGGGTTTGGAATAGCATCCCGGAATCGAGCTTGGATGCCGCATATCAAATGGAGTACTCAATGCAATGGCGCCTCAACCTCCTTGCTGATGGCCTGGGAGGTTTACCTGCTGCTTGCGAGCCTCAATCTTGGCTGCCCTCTCGTCAGTAGTGGGAAGAGATCCGTCACGGTTGGGCAGGGGGACCGTCCGCACCGAATCGGGATCGAGGCGATGCCGCTGCACCCCGGGGCGCTTCTTCGGGACTGCACCAAACACATAGCAGTGCGCTTGGAAAAGAGGCTTGGGGAGAGAAGGATTGGGTGCAGAGGCACACTGATGCCAGAGACTCGTAGCGTAATAAAGACAATCTTTTGAAAGGCAACAGATTTGAAGATAGAGGTGGTCGGCCCGCAACACTTGCCAATGAAAGGCAATCACAAAACCATCAGTAAGCGTTCTCGAGACATATGCTTGCCCCCTTATGGGCACAACATGCCAACATTCAGGGCACGACTGGCCTTATGAAAACCACGGCGACAACCTATGACCTCAATCCGTCGCTCGCCAATGAAAGCATAGACCTGATGCTACTTCCAGGCAAAGGTAGAATGTGCACCAAAAAGCCAATCAAAATTGACCCGGAAACCTGAGCAACGGTTTTTATACGCACTGGTTACTCATCCTTGACCTTGACAGTATTGCCCACTCTGATTATGACTTCATCCACATGCATGCGAAACCGCTGCGCAAACAGTCAGAAAAACGAATGTGGTAAGAAGAGGCACAGGAAGACTTACTCTGAACCTTCGAAGATGACTTTTGTGTCGAGGTTGCAGGTGGGGCTGACGCCAGCCCCTCCTTTGCGTGCGCAGCTTTCGGCATTGCGAGCGAGCACGCCGCAGCAATGACAATCCCAGCTACATAGGCCCCGACGGGAAACCCTCTGCTCCTAATCTCAGGGTCCTTGACTGTTAGTGAAGTTTCTAACTCCGGAAGAATGATATTATCTGGAAGGGACCTGTTGTCCTCTAACTGTGCAGTGACGCTCTTATGGGATAGCGCTGTACTGTTCCGGACCCCAGACACGCGAAGATTAAGACCGCGGCCCCTGATAGAAAGTGAACTGGAGTAGAGAGGGGACCCCAAGAGGGAGCTGCTAGAGAAAGATGCGACCCTAGGAGAGGACTGACACGCAGTGCCATTGCTTGCGGAGGTGGCTCCCAGCTGCATTGAAGAAATTGAACTTTTGCACAACAGTTCTGAGCAGAAAGCTTTGACACAACGTTGGCGCCAGCGACTGGCTCAAAGACATCAAAGATGGAAGATCTTTTTGTCCGTTCAAATGATGCTTGAAGTGGGTGCTTTGCTCATCCCCGGGCAGGTAGAGTTGCTGACCCTCAAAGCACAAAATTTTTTGGCCCAAGTCTTCATAACAGTTTCTCATCAATTGGACTCCTACTTAAAATCTGGCACAATCTTGGCAAACCCCATCAACAAAGATGATGCCACCAAGTGACGTGGTTGACGACGAGACAGATCTTGTTTTTGACAGACGGCTATGTATCAATCATGACTCCTACCCGCCAATAAGAACAATTCACTGACCACTAAGCCACCAACTGCAATCAGAGCACTGTAAAGTGAAGGGCAGGCATTGTTAATCGCGGATTGAGATTCCAAATACTCCTTCCCTATTGCCACCCACAACCGCGTACCCTCTATGATTTGGTAATGGTTACGTCCAAAACTCCATAAACACGCCAACATACCATAACCACCACTCTCCTTGAACACAGCAAGTGCCATTGTGGACATTGAGGCAACTTTGTGGACATGGCAGTGCCAATTACAGGAAGAGATGGCAAAGGGATTTATTTGCAAAAGTTGGGGGGTCTGATGGATAAGGTGGTCACACTCAATTGCCGTTGCACCAGCGCTAAACCCAGAGTGTCGACATGGAAGCAGGAATTTTCAAAAGCATAACAACAGACAACATGCATGCATGAATGCGTACTTTGAAGTGTTTGTTTACCTTGCAGGGTGTGCCAACTCCAGCTTGGACCGCCAATGCTGACGCCATTGCGTGCTTTGTTGAACGCCTGCGAATCTGACTTTCTTAAACAACAGCTCGGCTTGCAAAAGCGTTCGTGTAATCAACCTACGCAGGGCCAGAAAGAGGCCACAAAGGTCTCCAGTCTGCCACAGTGCAGCAAGGGCGAGGGAAAGCAAGCAAAGCCTTCGACGAAAGACAGACACCTCATGAACTTGCTCTCGAGAAAGGATCATTGGCATTGGTCTTCATCAATTATGAACAGCATACTAATATAAGCTAATTTTGCATGTTGCTTTCGTCGAAGGATTTACAACTAGATGTCCGACGGGGATATGTTGCTTTCCCTTCTGCAGTAAGTTTTGTCAGCGCTTCCAGATCGTATATTGCCTTTACTTACGTGGTTTATAAGCTCGTACCTTTTCCCCTCACCTATTACGACCAGACACCATGACATTTAATATTAATATTGACAGTGTCCATGAGAATGATGAGTTCAACTTCTTGCCATGGAATTCGGAGCAGCTGCACATGGCTGCACATGGTGACGGACACAGTCAGCTAGAGTCGCGAATAAGCGCAGCTGGAGCTGCGCCCTTCGAGGTTGAACTTGAGTGGTGCCCGCCGTGCATGAACAGGAACCATGCCCTCTTCTTTGGACAGCACGCTCCTGGTGAAAGAATCGTGGCAGTGGCTCTCTGGGCGACAAACGGCGGGTTGGATTGTCTGGTCTTGCAACGGACAAGAACTTTAGCAGGTTGTTTGCAACTTACTTGAAGGATCAGGTAAGGTCTGTAGTAGATGGCTTTCATTGCGGAATCAGGAATTTCGAAGTTTTTGCAGCCACAACCAACAACGGATGTTCGACGGACTCGGTTTAACGTTGCCTTTGGATTGGTGCACGATATTTTTCGCAAGTGTGCTGCATATCAAACCTCTCTTTGATGCTAGGTATGGGTATCTGGTCAGCATTGTTGAATGTTTGCCAAAATGACGAACAACAATCAATCTGACAAAAGCTTCGTCAAGCAGTAGCAGTTGCTTCCGAACTGGCTACTCTGATTTGCAAGTCTCTTCTCCTCACTAAGGTGCTTCGTGTTCACCGTTGCTTGTGCAAGTGCATATTGTCAGAGTTATCAGCAGGGGCCTAGAGTGGTTTGCAACAGTAGCGAAAGCTGTTCTGCTTCTTGAGCCTCAGGTGTCCATCCTGTGGTTGATGTACAGACTTTCTCAGTTGCACTTTGTACTGGTTTACATAGACCAGGTTTCGTAGGTTTGCAAACGCAAGCATAATCGCAAAACGGGAATGTGCAGCTTCAACCACGTTCGTGCAGAGCTCACTGTTATTGCTTGTGGGGACTTTTTGCTTTAGCCCTTTGCTTTGTTCCTTGTTTGTTTTTTGGGCTCAGCCCTGCTTATTCGCTTTTTCGAGTCCGAGACATAAGTTTTTGCGTGAAAACTTGTGAGCTCCTTCATGGAGGTCCGGCTGGGTCTGCTTTTATTATCCCCTTGATGACTCCTCTTTTGTGCAGGGCAACAGGAGCAGGAATCCAGGCTGGTATTTTTCTGATTCGATTCCGAGCAGCGGACGTGCCCAATGGGCGGAGCTAATGGCGACATCGCAGTTGCGACCGAAAAAGCGCCTGCCAGCACAACCATGGAAGACGGAATAACAACGGTCGATATGCGGACGCATTCCGAGGCCGAGACCTCGGAGCGGGGGAGCGAGTCACGAAAGGGGAAGCAGGCAGTGCCAGAGGGAGAGGCTGAAATGGGCCTAGAGGCGCCGCTGCTGAGGACCGATATTGAGGCCGGGGGAGGGGGGCAGGAGGGAACGGAAGGGGAGATCCCCCCCGGACTGAGGAGCCTGTCTAAAGGGTCTGCGCGCAGCAGTAGTGAGAGCGTGGACGAGTGCAGGATATGCAAGGAGGAGCGGGAGCCGGGGGAGAAGATGATCAGGTGGGGGCAAGCTAAGAGTGTGAAGTGCCATTGAAGGGGGAGATAGTGTGGCAACTGCGGTTGTTTCATGCGAATTGGTTTGGATTTTTGGCCCGGCGTTGATGTTGGATTCAAAATGCATTCCATCCTTGGATTGACAATCAATGACGAGGGGTTATTGCCAAGAATCATGAGGACAACTAAGATGATCTGGCCAGATACTGCAGATTTAGGGGTGCGGAAGGTCGCTTGGAAATGTTTTGCAGCCTTATTGCTCAGACGCTTCTCAAGCGAGTTCTGCAGTTCCTACTTTCTTAGGGTCCATGTCGGCAAACTGCATGGGACTCGATCGCACACAAGTGGCACTGCTTTACCCCCCTGCACTGTGTGGTAGGGCTTCAGGATAAGGTCAAAACCTGGAATTAAGCAACCACAGTGGTTCCCAGCCTTTCCAGTTAGCGCAGACCCTTGAATCAGCTCTAGAAGTCAGATATGATCTTTGTGCCTGGGCCGGGGAAACATGCTGACAATGAAGCAGGTGGTTCGATCAAAGGAAGGGAGATGGAGACCCCCAAACCGTTGGTTGCAGATGCCAGGCAAGACCACATTTACCCCCCTTTGACTTACCCTGCGTCTCTGCTCCGTCCGCCGCAGGCCGTGTCTGTGCGGTGGCAGCATGGCGCGCGTGCACGCGCACTGCCTGCAGGCGTGGCTCAAGCGGCGGCGCGCGGACGTGTCGCAGGAGGACGCGTTCAAGTGCGAGGTGTGCAAGGCGCCGTACCGGCTGCACATCCGCGAGTACTTCAACTGCACCGCCGCCGCGCTCTGCTCCTGGACCACGTGCGGCTTCTGCACCGAGTTTGCGGTCATCGCAGCGGCGCTGATCACGCTGGCGGGGGTCTTCTGCCTCTCTATCCTCAACGACGAGGTGAGTGGGATTTAGATTCGTGTTTGCATTGAAGTCGGGTTTGAGATACACCATTTTGGGTTGTGCGTGTTCGCACTGACATTGAGTCTGAGATACACGATTCTGTGTCGTTCAATCAACGTTGGGTCTTTCTCCTTGAGAAACAGTCTCTGGGCAGATTGCGGCTCAAGCTGCGCCCGCGATCTGTACATCTGATGGTCTGGTGATGGTTGTGCCAGACAGTTTTTAAGCTTTGGCTGCGGACGAATTCAATCAGTTTGTAAGAGTTCGATGTCATAACACTGCTTGCTAATGATTCGTATCCTGCTTCACTCTCTGCAGGCGGACGTGGGCAGCCTGGGGTTCTTCATCACAGTTGGGATGGACTCGTTCGTCTTTTGTCTGGGGATAGTGATGCTCAAAAACGTAAGTGCTCCGAGCTTGCTTTTTGTTAGAAGCCTCCGTGCGCCAAACACTCCCTGATCAAAATCGATGTTGATTGCATATACCGAACAGACGGGGTAATGGAACGAAGCCCTTGAGAAACTCAAATCTGGTGGACGCCATCCGTTCTGCCAGATTGTTTTCGAGAGACGTTTGGATTACGGACCAGCCAGTTCAACCCCTCGCTGAGCTTGCCGGAAACTTCGTCAAGGATAACTAACACGAGGTTCCAAAACGGCCGAAAACTTCTCACACATTGATCAAGGTGGGTTGATCCGGATCTTCTTCCAGATTATTAGCAGCTGACCTCGAGCTTTGATTTCCTACTGCCTGCTTTTAGGATCTCTTGCGTCGCTCATGAACCAGACTTTCTACTGTTGCAGGTTGCACAGCGATGGAGAGCGGAGAACACCATACCTGTTCTAACGCCCTTCAGCAACGTGACCTCTCCCACATCGCCTCGTTCCCCACGAACGAGCAACGTCTGATTTCGTCCACAAGTTCTATGAGATTAAGAGTATTATAGATGTAACACTGCTAAAAATAGCCTGCTTCCGATTGTACATAGACACCGACTGGCAGATGGTGTCAGTTGACGCATACGCCTACCCAACCCCTTCTTTCGCGTGCCGGAGTCTGTCTGAAGCGTCGATTGCTCGATTCTGGATTCTGATTGGAGGACGCTCGGTCAGAAGCAGATCCTCAAGCATTTGGGTTGCTTAAGGCCCATCCACGAGTACCAAGTTCGATCGCATACCGGTTGCCGGCGGCGGGCCATGTAGATTGGGTCTTGGTTGGCAGAACTGTCAACCATGTTATTCTGGATTAATTGAATTCATATGAGCGGAACAATTAATCAGCATCAGTGGTCCAAATCGATCAAAATTTCAGTGTTGGAGGTGAACAGTTACATGCGTGGCTGTTGATGATGATTGTCACATGTGCAATTGCCGCAATTGTACAATTCATCCGGCCATACATGCACACATGTGTATACTTCGAATAAGCTAGCATGGGTACGTGAATCTAGACGTATATCGAGTATAATGTATATCAGCATGTGCATGCGCGGTATGTGTAATCGCATACGTCATTGTCGAACTATACCTGACCATGCACAGTTAAGTGAGAATATATTGACTTCAACCAGCCGCCTTATATAGTAGAGTGGCCGGGCCGGGCACATTCTGAGACGCGCCAAACGCCCCCGCTTCTACTCTGATTTAATCATCGATGGTCTCATCGGGATGTATGTACATGCATGTGTTGACCCCGTAATTAGTTACGCCATCATGCAATGCTCAGTCAGCCACAATCGCGGGACATTTTACAAGCCTGGGGGGAGAAACTTTTGATTGACGGTTCGAACATTTGACCGGGCGCGCCAGCCGAGCCAGATCAGCCTTTGCTGGATCGAAGGCATGCCGCAGACTCAAGATTGGTATAGTCTGCAAGCAAGGATGCATTTTCAAACAGTGAGCGTGAGATCCTTCCCGCAGAATTCAACAGTATCATCCGTGCCCAGAGCTTGTGTCTACTCGCAAGCAATACCTGAGCTTGACTACCTAAATTAGTGTCCGAGCGCAGTCTTTCGACAACCTCCGTCACAAATGCCTCCTCGCGTGCACAGGACTCAGCTGCGGAGGCCATGATCCCTGACGCCACCACGGACCCACTGTCGACTTCATCTACCAAGGTCTGCTCTGCACTCCAGAGGGGAAACGGAACAGGAAACCCTTTGAATGTACCACCCGTGTCTGATGCTTGAGAAGGGGACGTCGAAGCCTTAGGGTCACTCTCCGGTTGTTTGACGGTGGCTTGGGGTTCTGCCCCAGCACCGGCGAAATTAATCTGTGCGAAGAAGCGGCGGTGCAGCCAAAGCGCCTAGAGGAAAGGAAAAAGAAGGGGTCAGGTTCGCTGCGTGCGGTAAGACGCTTCTGGCTGAAGGTCGTTGATGCTGACAGCATATCGCTTTGCTTCAAGAGCCGGCCTGTTGCAGGTTCCATCCATCCCAACGGCAGAATCCAAGAGATCGTGGCGTCATACAGGCAAACACGTGACAGGACGGACAGGTTGCTAAGGCACTGCAAAAGACGACGCGTCTCGCCTCGGAGTACTCGACTTGACACAGAGCCGGCAGACGCCAGGGCGCAATCTTCAGCGCCATTGTAGCCACAGGAATACGTCGCGACGCACATGTGTAGGCACTGCCTCACCTCCCTGCCCTGGTAGTAGTCCAGGAGGGGGGTCAGCCAGGCTCGCTCCTGCTCGACAAGCAATCCGGGTGACGTGGCCGTGACCTCATCCCCCGGGGACCGCTGGAGCACTAGCAGGATAAGCCGCTGCGCAGAAACAGGAGAGTGTTGAGGGAGGGAAGTCAATGTGAAAAGGAAGGCTTTTGAAGGAAGCTCAGAGTGTATTTTTGGAACAAGCGACGTCCGGTTACGTTGAGAGCAACCGGATATTGGGTTGGCCCGGCAAGTCTGACCGTTATACCGTGTAGAAGAAACAGTTGTGCGGATGCTTTTCACTGGAAGCACGAAAAGAAGTAGTGTCACCTTGTGAGGGTTGGAAAGAAGTCAACTAGAGAGCTAATCGCAATGATGATACTTTATAGTCTCCTTGGCGATCATAAAATCGAAAGAAGAGTGTACGACGTCCACTCAGCAAAAAGCCAATCGAATGACGACGCCAGATACGAGAATCGGAGTAACAGCATGACCCAATGCTTTTCCGGCTTTGCAACCAAGCGAGGCGTGCGCTCGATAGACCAAACCCCTTAGCAACGCCGGCCCCTTTGTGTTGACAAGGCACGGCGCTCTTAAAGCAGAAGCTGACTGCAGGACCGCGACTTTTGCAGACTCTCTTAAAACGTCAACGAGGAGAGTCCTCGAGCAGCAGACTGTGTCCGTAGAGTCAGGAGGGATGCGCTGAAAGTGCTGAATCGGCCAACTCAGACGTGCCCTCGAGATTGCCTCTCGAACTCCTTTACTATTTGGAACTCAGAACGGCGAAGAGGATCACAAAAACGCGCGCAGGCTTCATTTCGACCTGAGGACCATCTCCGAAGCAACACGATCAATTGAGTAAAGGCGTTTGGGCTCCCAAAATCGATCCCCAGCCTTACAGTCTTCAGGATGATCTATCAATACGACTTCAACCAATCTCGGGAGATTGGGCCCGAGGTTGCAGACTCTCACAAAACCAGAAACGCTCATCCAAGCCCGTTCACAGAAGATATAACGCAAACGTGCGATTCACAGGGTAGGATCCGCGGTGCCTTAGGCTGCCTCACTCGACGGTAGTGCAGGCCGCAGTTGTCGGTGACGTGCTGCTCCGCCCACACGCGGCTCGCCTGCAGCTCGGCGCGCAGCTGGCCGGGCGGCATCCACTGGGCGGCCCACGCGCGGTGGCTCCAGGCACGGTAGTTCATGGGGCGCAGCTGGGGGGCACGAGAAAGAACGGGCGTTGATTTCATCAGGACGATGATACTGGGCCCTGTTTCGACTGTACAAGGGTCGAAAAAGCACCATCCTACTTCAGCAGATTCCGAAGTCGAGCGTCTCAGCGGTGAGCATGACCCATGCATACGACCTCTTATGTGAAGCAACTCGGGCCCCTAATTTCGCACCCAAGATGTTGTTTTCGACGGAGCGTTCGATATTTCCGACAAAGGCGAAGATACATTCTTATCCTTGAACTCCGTAAAGCCCGCACCTCACAAGCTACAGACTGGCCGTGCAACGTCTTGGGTGTGAGATTCAAAGGCCCGCGCATTGCCATCTGAAGCACGCGTTTCAATCGGTGAAACATAGAAAGTAAAAGCGCACAAGAAGCGTCGAACCACTCTCAGCAAAGCACCTTCTCTGACGCTTCAAACTACTGAGTCCGCATGCGCAGCACCTTTGTCAGACGTGAAGAGTCATTCAAAAGCCTACCTCGGCACAGCGTTGTGCCAGCGCAGACTCTTTCTCCAGCACGCTGCACTGAGGACTCTTGGCGATCTGCAGAAGGTTTCTCAGGACCCACCGCCTGCACGCAGGGGACAGAGGGGCAGGTCAATGATAATCCGGTCGGGCAACAACTGGGGACTCTGCTTTCCGAAGTCTTAGCGATCAATACATTCCACTGGCCCAACTGAGCCGTGACCGGAAGGTACGACGGTGTCAACGATGGGTGTTCCCCTTCTTTGCCCTTCTTCGTGTACAAATCAAACCAAGCAAGTCTCCGCTTTCCAGGAATAATTAGCCTGCTGCTTTTTGAAGATGATAGAAGGGTGAACTCAATCAAAGTCCTACAAAGAAGACACGCTTGCAGGAAAACGAGGCTAATGACTTTTGAATAACAAGGAGCCGTGGCTTGAGTGCGCCTCAAAGATCTGGGATTGCTCCTGTCAAGTCTGACCTGTGCGACCAGGTGGCTTCGCTCTTGGGGTGCACCGACAGTGCCAACGCTGACAGCTGCAGCTCCACAGAGGCCGCACCTTCCGGGGCAGGACTCCGTAGCAACACGCGCTTCCTGCAAAAAGGAAAAGGTGCCCTCTTTCTAATAGCTCGTGTGTCCGTCGTTCGTAACGTCAGCCCGAATGGCATGAGCATGCATAAGCATCAAGCGATCATGTCCTCATTCGAATCAGACTAACCACAACAATTGCTGGGTCGGTACTAGGAAACCATCGAGTCGAAATCCATAAACGTTGACACAAACCGACCTGACGACAAGGCTTCTGTGTGCAGGCTATTTTTATCGAAAATCTCGAGAGAGGCTCTGAAAAGCTCCATCACAGCTTCACCAACTCAAAGAAAGACAATGGAGAGTTGATGTTAGTCTTGATACAAGTGCAGATCCAGAGTGGCTCACCTGGTATTCCAGGCTGTGTAGTGCTCCGGGTTGACAATCACGATGACCTGCGTTGCCTGAAGCAACTCAGCGTCACCTGTGCTTGTGGGGCCAGCAGTGCGCGCCCGTTTGAGGGTCAGCAGCGCCGCAGAGTACATGGCTCTCGCCGCCACTAGCGCGACAGCGAGCTTGTGGTCTCCAACCCAGAAAGCTGAGGGATCATACGCTGAGGCAGAGTCGGCAGACTGGGGGGCCTGCTCCAGGGGAAGAGCGTCCGCAGACACAGACGGTACAAGGCCCACCTCATCGCTGGAAGGAGAAGGAGGGCGGATAAGTTGGACAGTGGCACACTCGAGTAATACCGAGACCTCTGAGAGTCTCCAGTACCCTCCAACGACTGCGTATTTGGAGGACTGCTTAGTTGATGCACTCATAGCAAAAGGCAGGTTCAGGAGGATATAACGTTCAGGGGGGAAGACCTGATGACCTAATGACAATCCCGATGAGTCACATCTGGGTCCAAGCTCCAACCCTGTTGTCGCAGTAGGCTGGAGACAGAAAACCTTAGGGCGCCAGAGCTCAATAAAGGGTGAGCAAGTACTTGATAGAACACAAGTAGGGAGAACTCCAATCTGACATGAAAACCATGATGTAATGGTGGTGGTGGCAATAAACTGCAGATGACTATATAAACCTGCCAAAAGCAATGGCTTGATTGAAAAAAATCTCTTCGAAATATGATTGACCTGTCTTTCAACCTGCAAATTGATGTTGCATTCTATCTATGCACAAGGAGCTTTACAAGTTCTTGGCTTCAGCTGTAAGAAAGCAAGTCAGAAACCCCAGCCATGGCCCGCCATACCTTCATACAAGTACTTACATGAGGGGGTCACTGCGCAGAATATGATCCAATTCGAGGATCAGGCATGCACCGTCCATGGCACCTGCCGGCGCACTGGAATACTGAATCCTAGCTCCTGCAAGCAACAGCCGGACCTTGTGCACACCAAGATGTAATTACAATGCAGAAATAGCCCCACAATGGCATTGCCAATGCGACATGGAAGGTAGCATTCACGAGCGCCTATGCATGGAGGATTGGTGTTTGGGGCTTCGAAGCTGTTCATACAATTTGAAATTAGGGTTTGGCGTGCTTGGTTCCGACTCGTTGACTCGAGAACTTCGAACTTCATGAGTTCAACTTCAACTTCAAGTTGAACGTCAAGTTGAAACGCTCCTAACTCAGTCGACTCTGAGTCTGATCCTGAGCTATGTAGCTTCTAAAATTGAATGTTTGAGGGAGCTGGTAGACCTGAGGAAAGGTGTCGCTTTGTCCCAACCACGACTTCCAGATTATCCTTCTCTTCAAAGATTGGTTGACTGCTTCTTTGGTTGTCCGCTTGTTTACTCCTCTCGCACCTTCTACTAAGAGGAAGGCCTTCTTGGAATCTGGGGCTCACACCAGACTCTGAGGTGATGGGCAGCATGCTGTTCGTCCTGACGGGCTTGCTCCTTCTGGCTGTCTGCTGGCCTGACACGGTGATTGCGGCAGCTCCTGCTGTTGAGGTGAGCACATGTGTTGATTGAAATCAGGAAGCACGGAGCTTGACTTTTGATCTGCATCCGTTGTCGCTGAAACCCTAGTCTGAAAAAGGGGTATGTGTGTTGGCCGCGTATCAAAGTATTGCTTGGTTGGTGTTGGTGACATTTCATGCGGCACCACCGGGCATCTTTCACATATGTGACATGAATTCGCTCTGTGCTCCTGTGTTGTGGTGGTTGATTCCCCAATGCACCTATCTTAGATCTTCAGTGGTTGTTAATGTTGTAAGTGAAACCCTGCTCACTCTGGCACTACACGGTTGTGCAGGTCACTTGCGGGAGCGTGATCAAGTTGATGCACGAGCGGACAAAGTTTCGATTACACTCTCATGAAGTCGCATATGGCAGTGGCAGCGGACAGCAGTCTGTGACTGCGTTCCCTTCAGGGGATGACAGCAACAGCTACTGGGTGAGCTCAGCATACCTTTTCTGAGCAAGGTTTGCCTACAGCTCTCAGAAGTTTTTGATAGTGAAAAATCTTTCCAATCTTCTTGTCAGGTAGATGAGCACGATTGATCGGCGTCGTTTCGCCTCATTGATACGTGGATCATCTTCTTGAGGGAACACGTTCCTTGACTGGCTTGCACATGAGCTTCGCCATAGGCAGAGTCTTGTACTGAAATTTCATAAGCAGTTCCGTAGCGCCGCCACTGACATCAAGGAAGCGACTGCGCACACGCCTGATTGGATAGCATTCTTTGAAGCACCGCCCTAGCTTTTGTACACGAGGTCAGGAAGAAGTGTGGAAAATCTATATTCGAAAGATCAGCGTTGCTAGTACAGTATATTGAGTGGTGCGCCGCTCTTCCTTGCCAGAGCGTCCACGGCCCCCATGACGCTGAGTGCGCCCAGGGTGAAGCGTTCAAGTCGGGGTCGGTGGTGCGCTTCCAGCACATGGCCACCAAGAGGTGGCTGCACAGCCACCTGCACCTCTCCCCACTTTCACAGAACTACGAGGTGAGAAAGCACTACACAAGGAGGAGGGGCAAATCGCGTTTTGGTAGGACAGCCCTGATACATTGTAGGAGTCAGGGTCCTCCAGCTAATGGACTTACACATCAGCGAGGTCAGAATCATCTCGACCAGCTTCTTGATTTCGTCTTCCACGATGGTCACATGATCGTTGCTAAGCTTATCTCACCAGCAGCGCTTTTGAATCGGGGCTTGACCATACTTGTCTGAACACTGCAGGTCAGCGGATTTGGGGACGACAACCAGAGCGACGGGGGAGACCATTGGAGGTGAGTCGACCACCTGGTTTGCTTTAGGTGCCCTTCCGGGGCGGAATGGCTCTGGACTGAAAAATACCGAGCCGAGTGAAAGCTTTGACTCCAACCGCGTGGCACTTTTGCTGAGGTCGGACCAAATTCTTGCTCGAGTTGAAGGTCTGCCTTCTTTTAGCCGGCAGTAAGCCGGTCTTCCAGTTTTACCGCTACTTCCACTGACATGACGGATCAAGATGCTCCGTTTCGAGCTCCTGAGGGGTTTTGTGACGGAGAAGCCCCCTGTAGCTCCCTCCTTGTTTGAGTAGTGAGTGGCCAAAGCTTCTGCGGAATAAGGGTTGCCATCGGTAATAGTCTCTGAGCTTGTTAAACTTCAAGCGTGAAGTCATTTCGCATGATTTGATTCTGCAGGGTGGAGGTGAACGGTGGAGGCATGTGGCTCAAAGATTCGGGGGTCCGCTTTCAGCACGTTGAGACGGTGAGACGTTGTCAAAGTTTCCTCGTCTTTTGTCTCCTCTAGATTTTCTCGGCCTTTGGCTTTACCTTGAGGCTGTTAAATACTAAAACCGCAAATTCGTTGGGCTGCTGCATGGTTTTCTCTTCCAGGTTGTTAAGGAGTTTCCTGCTTTTTAAAGAGTACCTGCGGTATGTGAGAACCAGCTGCTGTCCAGCTCTCAGTCTGCATGACTTTACTGCCACGTGTAGCATGAGCGACCCTCGTTCTCCTTTGTCCAGGGGGGATGGCTGCACAGTGCAGCGGACCGGCGGTACGGGCGGCCGATCGCAGGGCAGCAGGAGGTGTGCGGACACCGCAAAAAGTCGGAGAACGCGTTGTGGAAGGCTGCGGAGGGCACCTACATGCCGAGGTCAGCAGCCAGCTAACTCGGGACACCCCAGTCTTCAGAGGCATGTGAGTTCTGCAGAGCGTGCTTACCGTCTGTTCAATGAAGACGGCATTGACTCTGGCAGCAACAACGCATGTCGGTTCGCTGTTCCATCTGACCTTTCTTTCGAACCCAGTGCAGTGATTGGATTCGTGCTAACAAGGTCTCGATGGCTCACTGTTTACTGAAACGCCTTTTGACCTTGCGGAGAAACAAGTTGGTATACAATTTGCTTGCTTGTTGTCTCTTGTACTCGTGCAACCGATCCTGCAGTGGTGCAATATTTCTCAGGCTTGTATGGTTCCTGACTTGCAGATCTGCATCGATTGGCAGCCCTGAGCACGGAGAATTGTGATCCGATGGTCACGACTCCCAGTGTTGACCAGAGTGAGTGAATTGTATTGTGTATTACATGTACACACAGCATGAAAATCCTAGAAAGTTCAATGACTACTTCTGGCTATTATAATGGCAGTGGCATGCGGCAATCCTTTCATTATTTGCATGGACGATCGTTGGTCACAAAAGTCATGAGTCCATGGTCATGTGCGCACTAATGCCGTGCCAATGGCAATGCACGCAGATGCGGCCGTTTTTGGAAAGGATGCCGAATATGGCAGTAAGTGCCATAATCGGCATCCGCCTTATGGCGGCTGATGCTTACATTGCATGGTATAACTAGAAATTGTGTAATCCCAAACAATATATACACATGTGGCATATATTATATCGATCCGACAATTCGTACGTATCATTGAGTAGATCAGTAATTCGATGGTCTCTTTTCGTAACGCCGTAGCCAGTGCGGCCATAGGCTTCGATCATGGCATACAATTGTTGTGTTTGAAGATGTCTGCTTCTCTATAGTATCAACTTACGACTAATCTGAGCCTACCGACACAATTACAAACACGAGGCTGACGATCTGCCAATTCGAGCGCTGTCCGGGCCTTGTCTTCAACATAACCGAGGGCGTTTGTAGCTAAACGACGGATTTGTACAAAGGCAACGGTTTGTAAGGATGGCCGGGATCGGCGCGCGAGAAGAGTCGAAGTTGACCGGGTCACGAGGACCGTGCTGTGAACATCCAGTATAAGATATGCAAGACACCGTCCGTACTAAAAAACCCCTCCCCGTACTTCGTATAGCTTAGGGGATCTTTTCGTTTCAGAGGGGAAAAAGGTAACGGTGGAGTGCAAAATCTATACAGACTTGAGCTGGGGCTTGAGCTTGAGCTTGACATTGGGCTTATATGATTACAAGCAACACATTATGATACTCGATGGCATGCCAGAACCTAGGTTCTGGAGTTTTTTGAGCTCGAAAAACGATTCGATGAGGAGAATTTCGCCGATTTATTGCCAGCTGAGGAAGCATGCAAATGAATTCCGACTTGAGGAACATGCCACTGTGTGGACACTGTTTATGCTCTGATGAAAGCCGCTTTACAAAGACTGTCCGTCATGGGCTAGGGCTTTGGCAATGAAGGATGAGGCTGCCGCTTGCTTGGGTGCTGGTTGCCCGTATGATGCGAGCCTGCCTATTGGCCTGAAAGGGACAAAGCAGGGATGTTAGAAGAACCGCATGTATGTAGTCAAGAGATAGAAGCCAACAGAGCGCGCCGATCATGTGCTGCATGAAGGATGAACTGGCGAACTGCGGAATCGATGATGTCTGCAACGATCGATCACAGGCTATATACATGTGGCATTACATCCGACATGGCACACACTCGCATATAGTATTAACTATTGCAAAAGATGAAGCGACAATCGTCATGAATTAAAGGAAATTAAATTCTAAAATTCTTTAAGCTGCATGACATTCTTTCCATGACGGTTCATGCATGCCTATACACATATAAAATCCTATTTAGGCTCAATCTTTCAAATATCCTTGATCTGCAGGCAGCACTGAGCGCGGCTGACCCAACGTCATGTCTATACGTGACATAGATGTTGCGGGTTGCTTCGTTTGTAAAAGGTTTCGCGCGCGCTGCTTCAATCGTGTAAGGCTGTTCAAATCAGCTAACACAACGTTTACTCAATTCTCATACACCAGCTCACTCCGAGGCTCAGCGGCGCAGCTGACTCTTGAATAGGGCCGCCACAATATAATGTCAGTAAAAACACAACTCAGACCTTGCTAAACCGGACCACCTGCTCTCCTCTTCAACCTGCTCTGCTTAATCTAGTGATCATAGTCTGTGACAACAATCCAATTCTACTGTGAATCAGTACCTATTGATCCCGCCACCGGTGTTGACAGTTCGGATTGCAACAAACGAAAAACAAGGTCATACCCTCCTCTCCTCGACTCGTGGCCTGCAAACACAAGGTGTGAAATGGTTTTGTTGCAATCAAAAGGTCGCAGCATGCCAAACCAGAAGGGGAGGAAAACCTTCTTCAGAGCCGGCCCTATGACCGGCCCTTGAAAACAACCGGCTTTCAATTTGTTTTTTTTCTGCCCCAGAGCTGGTCCAAGATGACCCGGACAAAAAGTAAGAAGATACATCAACTGATATTGAGGAGCGACAGTCGGACCCATCACTTGTTTGTCAGAGGGACATGCTCAGATGAAGTAATGGCCGAATCAAACATGGCTGCATGCTCATCAAGGTCGCGATGCCGTTCTCTGCGTACCTGGAAGAAAACAGCCTCCCCATGCTTGCAAACTGGGCAGCGCAATGCTTTACTTCGGGGTAAGGTCGGATCTGACGTCACGTCCTGCAAGACCTGGGTTCTCTCACTGCACACACGAGCTACCTTTTATCAGCAGGGGGCCAAAGCAAGTAAGGTACGAAGTGCTCCGCTAGCCCCGACTTTTATACAAACGGAAGAGAGAAGATTCGACTCAGGAGCATTGCTGCTAGCGTGGTTGACAACCAGAGTCCAGAGAAGAGTATGCCCTTGGTGACAGTGTGATCCAAACGGCCAAAGCTTTGACTTGTTAGAGGTGTCGCAGATTGAACATCGAAACCAAGATGCACCTGCACCTGCGTATTCACTTCCAAAGATCTCTTCCTTTATGCAGATGACTGCATCTTAAGCTGATCGTACCTTTATACTTTCATGAAAACATCTCTCTTTTGAACTGCTCGCCCTTATCACACTAAACAGTGAAAAGAACATATGCCAACTTCTTGTGCTCACTCTGCGGTATGGTGAATCTCGTTGCGGTACACGCAGGACTGCTCTGCATCCTCCGAAAAGTCGCACCGCCCGCAGGCATACTCCAACCGCTTCTCAGCCTTATTTTCTCGGGGATATAAGATGTTGTTACTGCCGTCGCAGAAGGGGGGAAAAGAGAGAGATTTTAGTCTACGGCCGAGGAACTCTCATCTTCAAGAATGTTAGGGAATGCGACTTCAACAAACTTTCAAAGCAATCAGGAGTCTAAGAAACAAGGCACGAGCACCACTGGCTCTCTTTGTTGAAAAAGTCATGGGGCGAGCACCACTGATGCTGATTGCCTCTAATCAAGCTGCCACCATCGACTTCGCTCCAAAGTTAGCAATTAGTTGATCTCACCACTCTCGGCAAAACTTCATAGTACTCATGGCTCACTCAGCGACAGGCACCTCCCACCACCAAGCACGTCCCACACAGCCCTCACAAGTGACCCGTACGTGAATCTCGTTCAGCAACTGCTGAATGGCGCTTTCCACCCTCCGCTCTATGCTTTTCCGCTACTTTTTGGTGCGCTTCAATCAGGAGCTGGCGCAGAAGCAACTTTCGAGCAATTGATGCCCAAATTTCGTGGCCCTCTTCTTGATTTCAGGACGCTCTGAGCTTGCTGCTACACAGCCTACAGCGTCTGCTGATTATTTTGCGCCCCTGCCCTCTCCTTGCACTGGTAGATAATCAGGACTCACGCTAGCAACAACCGAGTCATCCAGAACTTCTTCAATCGACTCGCGCACGTTGAATTTTTAGATTATACCGGTAGCCTCAGGAATATATTAAGCTGGACTTTGTGGAAAGCTCCAAAACTTCTAGAGATCTTCTCAGTATGGTCATGACGGGTCTCTTGAACGTTGAAGAACCTTCGCGCGAAACCCGGCAGATTTCCAACGAATACCACAAATGATAAGAATATATGACCATTGACCAACAAAGCACGATTTACCAACTGGTCAGCATGCAAGGGGCAGAACTTTCACTATTTCAGAAGTGAAGTGTCTAGCTACATTTCTCAGCTCAAGTCTCCTCTCTTGACCGTCCCTGGACGTGACGCTCTCCTGCATTTTGAAGACCGCAATCTGCAATGTGCCTCTTGTCTTGGATGATGTGCCAATCTATGCTTGGGCTTTAACGCGCCGAGGGCCTTGATACAGTAGTGCAGATTGTGATAGCTAGTAATGACCCAGGTTGTGGACTTGGAAGATTAGATTCACGAGAGACTCTGGATTCAGGAGTTTTTAAGGACGTGGTTGTAAGCTGTTTTAGTTTTCTGGAAGTTGTAGCCACGTCTGCAAGCTGCTAAGATTTTGATGCAGATGTTGCCATCGTAGTGCTGGCGGGCTGTTGCTTAGGGGGTAAGCCAACCCACGAATGCCACCTGGGGGAGGGAAGCCGATGGCAAAGCACGCGCCAATAATAGGAAGCTTGCTCAACAATCGAAGGCCACTGCTCCTGGGTGAGTTTTCAGGCTCTTCATTCCACAACGGTGGTGCCGCCATGATGTTTTTCATTGCAGCATAGTGGGGCCTCTCATGACACTCTCACAGGGAAGACGGAAAATGCTGCCAAGACTTGAAGTGTTCCGCCAGAACAGCCGGCTTCTCCTCTTCAAGAAATGTGTGCTGGCTGTTATTGCATGGAGAAAGTCGGGAGCATCGACATTCGTTTTGCTCTTTCCCCATATTAAGTGCAACTTATGAACAACCTGAAGGCGCGAAGGTGTGAGGGGAGTTAGATCAGGGTTGCTGGTGCTCGGTGAACATCAGTGCGTATCACCAATGGGGCCATATGAACGGCCCTGTTCCCGATCGCAAAGATGACATCATCTCCATTCTGTTGTGCCCCAGGCTTCCAAAACCATGCTACTCGAGAAGTTCAAACGGTGTTCGACACCAGCTTTCGTGGCACCGACTCCTGTTGAACGCTGCGTTTTGACCTGAGCAAGGAAGATCAGCGCATCCTTAAGTTTTCTGCAGACAGCTGTAAGAAAGATCCGCTTTCACTGCCCAACGCTTGCTGCGCTCTCTTCCTCTTTCCCCCCAGGGTTCTGTTTCCTGCTCGGCTTTTTGCTGGGGGTGTTTGACACGCGCCGCTTCGAGGCCTCTTTTCCGGACGCCGTCTCCCACAGCTTCCCGGGGCAGGCCCTTGAGGATGAGCAGCGCGGCCTGGTGGGTGCGGGGGCCAGCCGCATCCTGGTGCAACAGCAGCTGCCGGCGCAGCCACGCCTCGAGGCGCCCGTCCAGCTGCTGATTGTCACACCCACGTACAATCGGCCCTTCCAGGTGAGGCGCCCGCGGCAACAACACCGACGTCTTTGACCTATAGTGGACAAATGAAGGCACGGGCAGCCCCCATGTTGGAGATCTGGCATGTCCTTATGACACGGACTTGGCATCATCCATGAAGTTCTCGACAGATTTGAACAGGCTGTGCTGGCAGGCTGCAAATGATGCTTCTTCGAATCTGACCACTGTTGCTTGAAAAACGGTAACATTTCCAGGGAACGGCAGGGTGGGGCAATTATCTTTTCGAACCACGATATCGTAATGCGGTATGCATTGCTTTTAAGCGGGCTGCCATCCACACTCTTCCTTCCCCGCAATGCGGCAATGGATGGAGGCATATCTATGATCCCAGCAGACTTGGCCCCAAGCCATTGACAAAGTCGAGAAAGTGAGCGAAGCAAGGTTTGCATCCGAGAAAGTCATCTGAAGGAGTTATGCCGCTTTCGTGTCATGTCGCAGGGGTCCTTTGTTACACCTTTTTACCAGCGAAAACAGGGCGCCCTTGCTTGTTGGCTGTTAATGAATCCGTTCCTGGTCCACTATTGGCTGGACGCTCAGCATGGAGCGAACTTTCAGGAGGGTGATGCAGAAAAGATGCGTCCTGTTTTGTCCGTCTCGTTTGCAACAGTCCTGTTCGGGTCACACGAGTATAGTCCTCCTCCTCTCTGTTCGAGATAAAGTGGCTGGGACCTTAGTTTCTTCTTCTCACCCTATGCCATCTGTCCTGGCAGGCGATGTACTTGACGCGGCTGGCGCACACGCTGCGCCTGGTGCGGCCGCCGGTGCTGTGGATCGTGGTAGAGACGGGGTGGCAGAGCGAGGAGAGCGTGGCGCTGCTGATGCGCACGGGGCTGATGTACCGCCACCTGGTGGTGCAGCAATTCAGCCCGCAGCACAAGGACCGCGGCGTGCACCAGCGCAACCACGCGCTCGACCACATCCAGCAGCACGCGCTGCAGGGCATCGTCTACTTTGCGGACGACGACAACAACTACAGCGTCGAGCTCTTTGAGGAGATCCGCAAGGTCAAGCGCTTTGGCGTCCTGCCGGTGGCCATGCTCGTGGAAGGCGCCGAGAAGACGACGATCGAGGGGCCTGTGTGCGCCGGGGGGCGGGTCATCGGGTGGCACACCAGCGAAGAGAGCGCGGCGCAGCGGCGCTTCCACTCGGACCTGTGCGGCTTTGCGTTCAATTCGTCGCTGATGTGGGAGCCAGGGGGTGAGGGACGGCGGAGGAACGCGCCGGTTCGGTTCCGGGATAACATCAAGGAGGGGTTCCAGGAGACGACGTTTATCGAGCAGCTGGTGGGCAGTGAGGCGGAGATGGAGGGGCTGGCGGACGACTGCCGGGAGGTGCTGGTGTGGCACTTGCGCGCAGAGGCGGCGCGGGACAGCGTGTATCCGACCTCCTGGATGCTGCGCGCCAGCATGAACATCACCACGCCCGCAAGGACGCCTGAGTCAATACGCGAACCTTAGGTTGGGTCCATTGACACCATACTAACTCATCCGCACGAGTCTGAAACCAGCTTGCTGCACGCTGCAATTGTGAGGACCGTGCGTTGTGCTGATGTGGCGCATAACGATTCGGACAAATGTTTTGAAACTGCTTATGTGAGCGCTTGTCAAGTTGTCCAACAGATGATCGGCAGGCTTGGGTCTGATGTTTCAATCTAATTCGTATCCTCGGGTGTAGAGATCCGGATTTACAAATCCGAGTCTCGTCTGCCATACTTCACGGTTTCACCGCCAGTTTGCAGCCGCCCATGGATCTTGGGTGTAACACAGAGAACACCATGCAATGCTTATTGAGCTAGACAAGATTTGCGCACTGACGCCGCACGTATTCCTTTACATGATGGACTCGAAACCATACAACATTTCAGGATGAGGATGCCATATAAGCATGGCTGCACTTACTGCAGTAGGCCCCCATCATGCGCTTTGAGGGCCTCGAATTAGGCTGCAATGGGCAACCCCGCTCATGACTCAGGCCTGGCCTGAGTGCCGTGATTAGCGCGCGCGAGCGGCAGCCTGAGCGAAGCGGCCGCGCGGCCTGAGGGCCCGCCCGCTGGCGGCCGCGCGCACGTCAACGACCGGCGGCTCCAGCCCGCGCGTCCGGACTCCGAGTACTAGACGGTAGTCACCGGCAGACCGGTAGTTGACCGCCCAACCACTCCTGGGCCCTGGCCCCCGGGGCACCGCGCATATACGTACTCAGCTCACCAGAATCGCGAGGCGTTTAGGGCCGGTCACCGGTGTACAATGAATTACCGGCCACGTTGAGTGACGGTGACTGGCACCGTCACGTGGGACGGCGGCAGCAATCGAATGCTTAAATATATAGTACCGCCCGGGCCCCGGTCGCCGACACCACTGTGCAGCAAGCTACCAAGGTACCGGTAGACTCTCCGGCCAGGGGTTGCAGTGCATCATGCATGCAGTGCTCACTCGATGGATCGCCCAACTCGGAGTCGGAGTACCCGGCCCCCGGGCCGTGGATCTCTGAATCAATCATGCAGGCTGCTCAGGAGTCAGGAATGCCGCTACGGTGCGTCTTGAATGCTTAGAACTGAACAGCCTGGAGCTGGCAGCTGGAGCAGCGAGCTTTTGTCGGATGTCCGCTTTGCCCGAACTAGCTCAGCTGGACAAGTTGCTGAAGTTGGAGATTTGATCTACCGTAGATGCAATCGGGTTGGAGCTTGAAGCTGGCCAGCAGGCCCTTTCAACTTGATTATCATCTAACATGTAAGCTGGTAGCTGGGGCTGCTCCTGACGACGATGTGACCAACATCTTCCGGTACCTGATCGAGCAGAGCTTGCAGAGGCTTCCAGTCTTTTGCCCATCCAAGCACGGTAGCACCCGAGCTTTCGTCGAAGTCGACTTGCTGCTTGGTCGTTATTGCTTCAGACACTCGAGCAGGTTACAAACACACCTCCCCTTGAAAAACTGATACAATCGCTGGGAAGAATTCCCTCTAACAGTAGTACTTGCCCTGCGACTTCAAGGAGCATCCGACAACTCTTCCAGCTGCTTGTATGTTGTGAGAGCTCTCCACACCAGCTGTCCAGTTTTCCAGCATTCTCTGTGATAAGCAGCAGCGATGGCACCCACTTGCCTCCTAGTTGTGGCGCTTGCGCTCTTGTGCGTCTCGCCTTTCTCAGTATCAGCTCAGGAGTATACCAATGCACTAGCAGCTGATTACACCTGCCCGCCGGGGTTCATACCTATCCAACGGGGCACCTCCGACCTTGTTGAGTGCGATGCCGATCAGTGCTACAATGAGGTAGTTGGCTGCGGCCCAGGTATGTTCCTTTGAGGCATTCTCATTGCCTATTCTGCCCAACTGGAAGGAAGGATGGACATTACTGGCAGTGTCTGCCAAGCAAATAGACCCTTGGTATCTCCTGCTGTTTTTGAACCAAAGGTTCCCGGAAGGGGTTGCCAGCTCCTCCACCAATCTGTGCAGAGTCTACTAGATGAGTGCCTTGCAGTGGTTTGTTTATTACATTTTTGTCAGTATCTCAACATCAAATCATCAAGGAAAACTCCCAATCTGAAGATTCTGCGAGGTATCAAGCATGGCTGCTGCGCCCCAATCCTTCCCGCTTCCTCTCGTTTATGGCTCTGCTCTCTTTGTTGCAACACACCTGCAGAGAACCCTGCTCGTCATTCTCGTTGGCTCTCAACTAAGTTTCAACCTGCAGGCCCCTCAGAAGGGCCTAAGACACAACCTTACCATTCAGACTTTTGTTTCTTCTTGATCCTTCACTGTCTTGTTTACTTCTCCTCACCTCTTTCTCTAAAGCCCGTCTACTTCACCGTCTTGTTTGAGGAGTGGGACCCATGCAAGTTTCCTACTTCCTTGACACTTTTGTCTCTCCGTATCCTTATTATCTTTTTCCTATTGGCCTTCGCTTTTGTTATTCTCATGGGGAGAACTCAGTATCTGCCTGGTGGGTGTGGCCATCACAAGACGGTAGTTGGCAGCTTTAAGATTTTCGAAAGAGCTTCAGACAAACATGGTTAATAATGTACTTCCCTTCTCTGTTTGTGTGCTTGCAGGCAACGTGTGTGTGCAGAACCCGTCCGGCTCCATCGCTGGTTATTCGTACCAGCACATATGCGTGTGCAACCCCCCATATTATCGAGGAGACTACCAGAGTACCAAGGGCATTGGGAATCACATCAGTTGCTTCATCCCAGGTAACAGCCTCTACCCTGACCACCGATTTGTCAACCAAACCACCTCTTAGCACCTCAGCCATGACCTTATAAGTCGAGGGGCACTTGACCTTTTTCAACTGTATCTCTATTGTATTGGAATGATAAGATGAAGTACTGTTCGGGCCTAGTCGTATTCGCTCCTGGGAATCTTGCCAAAGCTTCCGACGTGGCTCTGCAGAAGCATTACGAAAAAAAATCCTTACATGCAGATTACACAGAAAAGTCTCCTCGCAAAATCACCTGCGCTTTCCCACTTGAATGTACTCTCAAGAACAGCCTGGACTTACAAAGTCCCTTTAGGACGTCGTGGACTTCAATGATCCACATCAACAGGCTCACTTGGCCGTCCGCTTTTGCAAAGGGCTAATTCTACTGTGCAGGTCGGGACCCATGCAGTCCCAACCCTTGCGAGAACGGGGGTACATGCAGCGTACAGTTTGGCAACCGTTTGGGTCCCATCCCTGAGGGGGAGAACAGCAACCAGGTCATCGACTTCACTTGCGCCTGCCCTTTTGGGTTTCTCGGGAAGACCTGCGCCCTTTCGTGAGTGATCCAAGTCGTCCCCTGTTGGAGATTCGAAAGTAAGAGATGGGTGCTTCGACCCACATGTGAATGTGCGTTCCGGATTTCTCTATATGTTCTTGAAGCGAATCCAGCTCTGACCGGTTGTCTCCGCAAACTTGGCCGTCCAGTTTGAGAGCTCCTGGAGTATCCCCCCCTGTGTTGACCTTGTCTGCATCTGGCCTGAAGAGCTCAACAGCTCTCATTCGCTGGCGGCACTCTCACAAAGAAAACTTCTGAAAGACGCTTTTCAAAGGTATCCAGCTCCTACTAAGCTGTCATGTGGTTGCTTACCTCGTCTGCCGCTTGGTCGTGCTTGAATAAGGAGGCTCGCCAATCCCTGAGCAAACGAGTTCCGTCCAATGGTACCTAACCCAGCATGAACAAACCCTGGTTGTTCCATATTATCCGAATGCGGCTTTTTGACCAACCCGTGTGCATGACGTGTCTGATGACGGACATCTTGCGTGCAGGGTCCCGAATGGCCAGTACCCGACACCGGTGAAGAAGTCTAGCCCCCCACCGAGCGGCTTTCAAGGTGAGGCCTAGATTCGAGGCTGCAAGGACGACTTTGATTTCTTTGACTAGTGAAGAAATCTGAGAAGCCTCCGTTGCATAGAAAAAGCTCAGAAAAAGCGAGCGTCGAACTCGTAGCTACTAGCTATTCCCACCCGCTCCTATTGCAGATTGAGACAAACGAAGAGTGCAATTGCATCTCAAAGATCAGTCGGCATTCGAAACGGCGCAAACTGGGCAACTCGCTCTAGACTATCTCCAAAGACACAGATGCACGATCCCTCTCCTGAGCGGGTGTGTGCAGCCCGCTGCCTTCCGACGCGTTAGCGAACTTGCAGCAATGGGCCCTTGAGGCGCACTTTCGACTCTGCGTCGCTGGGAGATCCGGGAAGGGAACGATAGACTGTAGCTTGAGCTCGGGTCTTCCTGATCGAAGGGCCACTTCCAAAACGTATCACATGTTCCACTCGGCAGGTGTTTGTGGCTTCACCTCCGCGGCCGCGTTCCCTGTCCGGTGCTACTTCAACAACGACCCTCAGGGGCGCTACGTCTGTTGCGACGCGGCCGGCTGCGACGGCTTCAACCCCCCCGACAACCTCTTCCCCCACTGCAAGGCCAATGGCTACGTGCCACCTGGCTTCGGCGTGGGGACGAGTCCGTCTACCCCCCCGGCAACCTCGCCCCCGTCGGGCCCCCTCCCGAGTGGATCCGAAGGTACGATACTCCGCTAAGAGTCTCCGCTTTTTCGTCTCGACGTTTGGGGTTGACCCTATCCGGCAGCAACAGTCTCCTTAAATCACAAGCTCATGCCGTACTCTGTTCTTTGCAAGCAGGGATGATCGGAGACCAGACTACGATGCATTCTGCTTCTTTGCACAGCCGGTCTTGGCGTCGAATCATATCGTTCAGTTGACGTATCCAGCCGATGGAGAATTTTGTCAGATCTATAAGTTCCGGGGGAGCTGGACGAGTCGCCCCGGCAGAATCGCCAAGAAACTTCATTCGCTCCCTCGTGTTGGAAAGGTAGTGCCCAAGTAGCTGATTGGTTTCCAGAAAGTTCTTCTTGCTGCTTCCTTTCACTTGAGCGTAACCACTGATGTCACCTTTCCAGGGCAGTGTGCGTCCTCAGTAGCAGGTTGGGTTCTCAAAAGCTGCGTCGAAAAGGTTACCCGCCATTCATCTCGACTCTGCAGCAGGATCAGAATCGATGTGAAACCGAATCTCGTCTTAATGAACAATCGAAGTCCGGGGATCAATGATCCAGCACGCTTCCGACTGGTGCACGACTGTGTTCAGAATCATCCGGTCGCTTCAAAGCTCACCCGCAACATAAGCTCGGGCTGAGCTGGTTCCACACAGGCGTTGGCACTGTGTTTTGTGCAAGCCGTCACGAGGCGTGCCGTCCCCTGCAGGTGTTTGCGGCTCGGGCGACGCGGCCTTCTTCCCGACGCGGTGCTGGTTCAACAGCGACCCCCAGGGGCGCTACGTCTGCTGCGATGGGCAGGGCTGCGACGGATTCAACGCCGACAACCTGACCCCCCACTGCAAAAACTACGGCTACGTGCCACCTAACTTTGGCGTCGGGGCGTCGCCCCCCTCCCCTGAGCCTCCGAGTGGCTCGCAGGGTGAGCGGACTCATTTTTCTCTTCCCATGTCTCCTGGTTCGATACACAAAGCGTTTATTGAAAGGCTTTGTCGACCCGCTCACGTGGCGTTTCTCAGGGTCGTGGCCGTTTGATGGAAAATGCGTCGCAGTCGGAAAGCGGAAGTGTTTCAAATACGGAACCCCTTTTCACCCAGACTCAACGAGTTTCCGCGTGCGTGTTAAACATGTTAATACTCTGTACGGCTCTGCCAGTAGGTTTAAAAAGCTCGCATGCGATCCGGTCACTTTGTACGACCGTAAAGAAAGCTTTATGAATTACCGTCCGCTTGTTTTCAGAAGCTGATACTCCCTTCAACCTGGAAGGCGGCAAAGGAGAGCCGATATCATGTAGGGGAGGTTTCAAGGCGCTCTGTCACTAGGGCAGAAAAGGGACTTGGCTTTATCAGCTGTCTCACAGCCACGCGACCCCAATTTGCAATCTGCCTCTTCGAATCCCGGAAAGCCTGTTTGGGATCAGCGGTCATCGTTCCCGAGAGGTCAGAGCTTCAGGTCTTTATTTGTTGGTGAAATGGCTGCGGCCCGTCATGATCCACCAGTAGGTGCCAAGCTGGAGAGTTGAGATCATGCACTTGTGGCCGGGGCGAAACGCCAATCGACACGTGTTTTATGCCTAGGCGTGTGCGGGACCGGGGCCGCTGCAAGCTTCCCTTTGCGCTGCTGGTACAACAACGACCCGCTGGGGAGATACATCTGCTGCGACTCCGCGGGATGCGACGGGTTCGTTCCCCCGGACAGCTTCTTCCCCCGGTGCAAGAGCGGAACTTACCTCACGCCAAATTTGTAATCTTGTGCTCGGTTTTGAAGTGTTCTGGCTTTGCAATCTCAATCTTCTAACCTTATTGGGTACCTGGCGTGACATGACTTAGTACCTTTCAAGCAAAACCCAAGTACGCATAGAGTGTTCGAGATATGTATCCAAACTTAGCCGTTTACAGTTCCTCTTAACCAAATGAACACCAGGGCAACAATGCAGATGCCGAGTTCCCGGCTGATTTGTCGTACGGTAGCGCCCTTCGAAGGCCGTACCGATTCCGCTTCTGTGTAACTTAGGTTAATGGTACGTGAGTCATGACAGAGTTCCTAGCGAGACTCAGTATGTCATTAACCATTTTGATAGTGACCACATGGAAGATTCGCTCTTAATTTCTCGTGCCCAGCGCAGGCTACCCAACGTATGCTTTCTGTACATGCCCAGCGCCAGTGAGTCGTTCGATCATACATAAGTCAAGCTTGCCTGCCCGGGTCGTCAGGCGTTAACGTACAGAGTGATTATAGTGGTGTGCGATGAGATGAGGAGTATAATAAAGTGACAATGACAGACTCACGGTGACTCCTATGTGCCAGACGTCGCGTACAGTACGTATGTGACCGTACTCTGTAGGCCAATTAGGCATGGCATTCAATGACTCAGATGTATTATAAAGCACTGGAGCACAACTTGAGCATGCGGGCCCGTCGGACCACGAGGCAGATGACAAGGAGACGGCGATGACGGTCACCTGGCAGACTCGATCAACTGATAATGGATCAGTTGATCTGTGTAGTCGAGACGGTTCAATCGCACGTCCAACGTGGTACGTTGCCATGCATACAGTGACAGCGCGCGTACTGTGAGCAGATGACTAACGAGTGTGCATCTCAATCGCTCCATGAGCTGCAGCTGAGCGGCGGTCAGCCGCGGCTGAGCAGCTTGTCATGTCCAGCACCGTGACTTGCATGCCTCAGAGCCTTCGTGTGAACTTAGCTAGGACCATTAGCACTCTCGACTATGGTCCGGTCAAAGATCCTAGATGTTGTTTTTACATAATCAGGTGGCAAATTCAGTTTGCCACACATAAGTTATCAATCAGTTTCAGCAGGGCGGCTCGGTCTAGCTCAGACCTCAAGTACTCGCTCGTTTGGTCGGGACATAACGCCTCTGGCTCGGGGATCTGGTTTGCCCTGACTCGTCGGTGCTGGCGGGTGCACCCGGGGCGACCGCGGGGGGGACGCCCCCTGCCCCTTGGCCGCCGACTGGAGCTTCCAGTCTAGGCTGCGCACGGCAGCCACCAAGTCCGCGCCGCGCTGCACAGCCGCACCCGAACGGCTTTTAGAGCTCCAGAATCACAAAAGCGCTTGTGACAAGGATTCACTGATAAGTTCGTTTGAAGTAGAGCGAATGAGGGCACGCAAAGAGAGGCGGTGCGACAAGCACGCAAGCAATCGCATCAAACCTACCGTGATGGTCGGTTCTTGGAAGACTGTGACACACGGGTTGATAAACCAGCTTGAAGTTTTCACAAAGACAATCAATTTCGCGAGTTACTCGGTCACACTGAAAGCACACGAGTTGCCGCCAAAGGGCTGCGGTCGGGGTTGGGAGTTCGCTATTCCCGTGCTGAGCGCCTGGGGGCCTTTACGTGCGCGCACACCTGGTTGGCGGCGTCCCGCTCGTCCTGCATCGCCTGCAGCTGCGCGCGCAGATCGCGGCTCCGCTGCTCGCTACTCGCCAGCGCAGCCTCCAAGGTCGCCAGACTCTTGCCGCGCATGCGCACGCTCGTCCACGTATTCCACCTGGAGGCAGGACACGTCGCATATGGAAGAGGTGACCGGGAGATAAAAGAAGATGAGCCGAGTTCAAAATTGTAAAGGGTGTTTAGGGACGTCTCACGAAAGCGGGCGAGCTCAACCCGGAGCTCCCTGCTGAACCGGGCAGTTGAAGAATGGAAGGCGAGTCGAGAGACAGGAACAGCAAGAGAGCACGGAGGCAGTTAGACCGCGGATCAACAAGACATACTTAAGGACAGTCCCAACACGTTTCTCCAGATCGGAGCGGCTGTCGTTGTGCCTGATCGGTCCAACAATGTTGACACGTAAAGAATTCTTCGTTATGAGGTTCATCAACCTGTCATGATACATCGCAGACAGTCATAGCCGCCGTCACAAGCTTTGCCCGCCCACCTGTCGAAGGCGCGCCGCTGCAGCGTGGTGGCCTGCAGGTTCTTGGCCCAGCGCGTGTGCGCGGCCCACTGGCGGAACGTGCGCTGCTTCGCGAGCCGGCGCGCGTGCTGCCGCAGCTGCCGCTTCTCGCCCAGCCGCGCGCGCCACTTCCGGAACGCCCACCGCAGCGCGCCCGCCGACCCGCCCTCAGGGGCCACGCCGCCGCTGCGCCACGCGCGCCACCGAGACAGCATCTCGCCCGCAAACGCCTCACGCCGGTGCGCGAACACCTGCATGGGGGGGCGCGACGAGTCAGCAAGGGATCCGCTCGCGCAGAGTCGAGCGGAGCAACGAGCAAGCAACGGCGACCGTCGTAATACGTGAGTTTGCGAAGTTGTTTCGTTCTCCTGAGCATGCCAACGAGCGAACCTAATTGGTTCTCACATTGGCAACCGTTACTGTGAGAACGATGGAGCATCCGCCAACGATGACGGCCTCTACTTCCTGCGCCTTCGGCATACCTACTCCTACGAAATTGTACCTTTGGGTACGCGGTTCACAATGTCGTCAGAAGTTGAAAGGAGTCAACTCTGGCCTCGGGACCCTGTACCGCGCATGTTCCGACCCCCCCGCCGCTTTCCGGCGGGCGCGTGCTGCGCGTTCTGCGGGCCCTCACCTGGTGCAGGTCCTGCTCCATCTGGCGGCCCTCGTGCACGGCGGACCGCCACGTGTTGAATGCCGACAGCTGCACCCGGTTGCGCAGCAGAGCGGCGAAGCGGCGCACCGCCTGCTGCAGCTGCGTCTTGGCTACCCATGCAGAAAAGGCCTGTACGACAAGACAACGTGAGGCGTCAGCGGGTAAAGTGGCGAATCAATCCAGAGCGCCATACGGCGCCTCTCGACAAATTTTTCACGTTGGCACCGAAAGAGTTTTGTTCGACATCTTGCAAGCACAACCGCGAACCGCAACATACGAACTCGCTTCCTGTGTTCGCAACAGACACCGGACCACACGAGCAGCGAGAGCAACACAACAGCAACGCGACAGCAGGACGAAGCTTCGAAGTTCTCCTGTCAGTGGCAGGCTTCCTCTGCAGGCTCGCATGCGGTCACGCAGAGCATTCTTCCGCGCTTTGTCAGCGCGCGCTGACCTGCGCGAGCGCGGAGTGCATGATGTGGCCTGCGGCGCGCTGCATGATGGCGCGCTGGCGCTGCACCTCGGCCACGGCCTCGCGCCAGCCGCGGAAGGCGCGCAGCAGGCCGCGCTGCTGCAGCCGCTCGCTGCTGTTGCGCATCACCTCGCGCGCGTGCGCGCTCACGCACACCAGGCCCCGCCACTCCGAGAAAGCCGCGCGCACCAGGATGCCCTGCACGTGCCGGCGTGCGCGCGCCTGCACAGAGAAAGGAGACGCAGAGTCAAAAGAGCCAGCTACTCACGCAAAGTGCGAACGGGGGCGGCGAAAGGGGGTCTGCCCTGGAGACCGGCAGGACGAGAGGGGTGAAGAAAAGGTCACTGCAGGGGTGTCACAGGCTGATTCAAGACGTGCCCAGGCGACATTCCCGGGGTCGGCTAGGAGTGCTACCCGAGCAAGCGACAACACGCGCTGGTCCCGGTCTCCGGCCAGGAGGGAGACGAGGTGGGGCTCATCAAAACAAAAGCTTAGGTTGTGTATTGATTGAAACAAGCACGAAGACAACACGCGCCTCTGGATGTCAGCTTCTAGCGATGTTGTCATTTGAAACGATTTTCGTCAACTTCTTTCAGGATAAATTCCTCCGAATCTCAGCACGGGCCTACCAAAGCGAGCAATGGAAGTACGCGACAGGACTGACCAGGCGTGCCTTCTTGCTCTGCTGCACCTCCACGCCCTCGCGCCACCGCTGCCACGCCTGCGCACCACACAGCGCCACACAGAATCAGGCGGCCTGCCAAGCGAGCATGCGGCTGGGGCAGAACACCAAGGAGGTACATTCGACTTCCATAAACAGCTGGCAGGTGGCTTGGCTCTTCACAGACTTCAATACAGACTTCCACCTTAAGAACAAGTAACAAACAGCTGGGCGGAATGCTTTCAATGTTACACGTGCCTGCCAGCCCGCACCGGGGCCGTACCTGGTGCAGCCGGCCGGCCTGCCACCTCTGGACGCACTGCCGCAGCCGCGAGTGCGCGGTCTTGCGGTCGTCGATCAGCGCCCTCCACGAGCGCAGCGTGCCCCGCTGCTGGCTCCGCCACCGCCGCCGCTCAAAAGCAGACACACTCGCAGCCATCCCCGCTGACAGCTGGCCGGCCTGCGAGCACCAGAGATGACAGCTGGGAGGGAGAAGTTGAACCCCTGCTGATCGACAGACTAGGCCCCTGCTTGGCACCTCAACTGGCAGCTTGCTCGTCAATCCTACATTTTAAATCTGGTACAGAGATGTTGGTCTATAGCGCACTGCCTCATGAACCCCACGCCTGCGATACAAGACCCACGAGCGGCGGTCACGTACCTGGCGCCAGCGCTTGAAGAGCGTCCGCTTGTACTCGAGGTCCGCTTTGCGGCGCTGGCGACGGCGCTGCGCCTTTTGCTGCGCGGTCTTCTTCCAGTGCAGGAACGGGAAGCTGAGGTGGCCGCGCCAGGGCAGGCCCAGCAGCGCCGCCTCCTTGGACCCCGCGTACACGCGCTGCACCTGCCAGATGCGCAGCCACGAGTGCGCCGCGCGCTCCAGCACGCCCGCGCACGACGCCTCCGACGCCGCGCGCTCCGCAGCCATCGCCTGCACCGCCAGCACCGGCTCAGAAGGGGATGCAACCAGCTCAGGCTGGCCATTTTCCAGGGGGGCCTGCTCTCAATGGAAGTCCTCCCATCTACCATGAATCCAGTCTGGTCGAAGTGGTTGCCAACTATGCTCGCCTAATGTTGGAGGGTTCACAGATGAGACTGTGAATTCATTTTGTGAGGTAGGTCCACCAATGAAACTGTAATTTCTTCAGCCAGGCATCTCACACCAGGGCAAGTCTCATTTTCGCTCTGCTGACTGCATGAGGTCATCCAGGTCATAGTGAAGTTTAAGTCGTCTGTTCTGCCCCACTCCTGGCGCTGCCCTGGCTCACCTGGCGCTCCGCCTCCACAGCCTCCCTGACCTTGGCCAGCATGTCCTCCAGGCGCCGCATCTCTGCTGCGTCCATCTTGTGCGCCGCGCGCTGCACCCCGCCCAGCTGCACCGCGCTCGCCGACAGCGCCCCAAACACGCCGCTCAACGATGCCCGTCCGGCCAAAGATGCCTTCCGTGCCTTGGCCTTCGCGCTGGTTCCTGTGTCCATCTCGGGGCGTGCACTTGTTGGCGCCGCACCGGCTGCACCATTGGGGCCGCCAGCCTTCTGGGACACCTTAGAGCCCTGCGGAACCCTAATTCTGGGGGGGCTACTTTCGGGGCTGCCCGTGGCCTGCTCTGGCTCTGCCTTGTTTTGCTGTGGCTTGCTCTTGCGGCCGTCCCAGGCGGGCTTCTCCTCCTTGGGCCGGAAGCTAACCCTAGACTTGGGGGCTGCCTTGGCGGGAGCGGGGGGGGAGCCCACCGCGTCACAGGTTTTCACACCGCCACCTTCAGCCTTGTGCTCCCTAGGATTCAACGTGATCTCAAACGGTGGTGATCTCCGATCATCCTGCTGCTCGTCAGAAGAGTCTGCGCCAAGCACTGTCGTGGGTCCTGCCATGGTGTTCCCTGATTCTGCATTCTCACCCACACGACCAGAGTCTAACCCTCCACCCCCGGCGGGGCTGTCTGCTGGCTGGGCGTGTTTCTTCTTTGCCTTCTTCAGTCGCACCTCCGCCTGTGCCCCCTGGGCATGGCTGTCATTGACCAGCGATGCCAGGCGCGACAGTGTGATGCCAGGGGCTGGCAGGTCGCTCAGCAGCAGGGCCTCCATTGCAGCACCACGTCACATAGAGGCAACAGGCACAGCAGAAACGGCGCGGCACAACCCGCCCAAGGCCTTCCTCTGAAAGCAAAGAGGAGAGACCGTGTATAGCTGCATTCGAGAACGAGAGCCTGAGCAGTGAGCATGAAGCTGGGCTAGAGGCTAGAGCTCTTCATTCATGCGTTGATTCAAGGATCTTGGGTCAACGTTTTCTACGATCGGAACTTACGTGAAGTGCGAGTGTCAAGCCGAACCCCGTGCGCTGGGGACAGTAAGATTGACACTGGATAATGTTGTGGACGCACACGCCTGAAGGCTGAACTTACCTAGAATCATAAGAGGTCTATGCTGCGTCTTTGTTGGCGGAGATTGGTGCACTTGTCGTCTCTAGTGAGGTCGAAAAGGAGCGCCTAATAAGACCATGATGCCTTTGGTTGCTAATCCTGTCCAGTGAACAATCCACATTGCTTTCGAAAGGCAGGAGACGTCCCACTGCATGAAGAGTTCCCCTCTACATATAAGAAAACTAGGTCAGAAAAGGGCATGGAAGGAAAGCTTTGCTAATCATAGAGGCAAGCAGGAGAAGCTTGCCCTGGCCCCGCAGAGAAGGTCTTGACGAGGACTCTGGCGTTGGCGAGCATGTGAGACCCACGCCCCTAGTGACTGGCCCGCACGACCTGGACTAATAATGGCCCATTGGTGTGTTGCATGTTGTTCCTCAAAGTGTCAGAGAGGGGCTGGCAAACATAATGCACTTATGCTGGGGCACTCTTTCCCACCAGTTTCTTTGTATTCATGATACGACAGCATGACCACTGAAAGTAACTCCTCAAGCAAGGTTGAACACCAAAGTTGTCTTGCCCCTAAAATGAGGGTTCCTGCGGCTCTCT